GGAAGAGTCCTTGTGTTTCTGGGATCCTGCACTTTCTCCAGACATTCTCCTTAGGCCAGGTCCTGAGAGGAGAACTCCTAAGCTGAGCAGATGGAGAATTACTAGTAGCGAGCAGGAGTTCGGGGCTGGATGCCACCAGTCCTGGGTCACGTGGAGCCCAGCTGAGGAATGTGAGATACATCTTCAGAGCCCAGGGAACCCTCCTTGTTAGAATCTTCCTTCCCTGGAGCCTCGCTTCTTCTCAGTTCCCATGCATAGGTCCAACAAGGGGCCTTCTGCACAGGGCTTACTTGCCAGAATTATAATTCTGGAAGCTTTCATCATTGACATGAATTAAAAGTTGTTTAAACTAAGCTCTGACATGGAGCAAAGGAAAGCTGGGAATGTTAGACCCGAGAATGCTATGACTGAGCTGAATGGAGAGATCAGGATCTAAACGTGGGTTCTTCCATCTCTATCAGGCCTAATTTAATCAAATGAAATATCTAATTTTGGTGAAATGAAATTGCCTTAGCAAGTCAAAAAGCCACCTGTTGTGGAGCCTGGTAAAAGGCACTGCTGGATAAAGTGACACATGCTCTTGAGGCACTGCCAATAGCTCAGGTGCCATTCCTTCATCACCTCTGCCGAGCAGAAAGAATTACACACTTTGAAAAATTGTGTTTTGTCATTTTCAAAACAGAAAATCCATGAATGTTCTGGAATAAAAAAGGTATGTGATTCTAATCATAATTTGAGATTGCAGTAAATATGAAATTCTGTTCTATAACTATATAATTGGGCATTTTAGTAGTCACAGATTCCCAAATAAATTAGATGAGTCTTTCTGAAAGACTGGTCACAAATTAAATGCACTTACTTTTTTACAGCAGCACTTTCTGGTTATTTAAGGACAAAATTGGAACAAGACTTGAGTATTAAATTGTGGTTCTGAGCTCTAAAGCTGAATGAATAGGAAAATGCCAATTCCAATTTTTAAAAAGAAATTTGCAAGTAAGTAAAATCAGAGCACAGAGAATATTACCCACACATGTAATGGAGAATCTACCACTAAAATACCTAGGCACTTGCTTTTAAAGACTTAATTATAGCAGCCTGTGGTAAAGCAGAGAAATCAAGCTTCTTGATTTCTAGGGATATTCTTATCCATGAAATCATATGTCATCTTTGCATCCTCCTCCCTTATTTGGATAAACAACAGCAATAGAAGTCCATCGCCATAGATGGAGCAGTTATTAGCTCCCTACTTCCCAGGTGTCTTCCTGTCTCTCTCTTGTCTACCCTCTATTTACAGATCACTGTGGGAGGTACCCCATGAGTATATATTTCTCCTCTAGACCATCCCCACTCCTCATCTTGCTACTCAAAGACAGCCCGCCCCAAAACTTTTTAAGAGACTCTAAACAACTAAGAAAGTAGCTGCAAGGTTAATTATGGCCGAAGGGCCCCTGATAAACTTCTAGGGAGGAAGGGCTACATATAGAATTGAAAGATTTCTTGGGCAAGATTATCAAGTAGGTCTCAATTTACACTCCCTCAAGTGGGGACTAAGGGTATCCCTGCACCTTCATCAATGTTAGCTTGCTGATTCATTCATTCATTCACTCGCTCACTCACTCCACTTTATTGAGGTAAGCTTGACATCTACAAAACCATCACCACAATCTATACCACAAACATATCAGTTACATCCAGAGATTCTTCCCACTCTCTTTATTTCATTTTTAAAATTTTATTTTATTTTTTGTGTGATAACACTTAAAATAAGATCCACTCTCTCAGGGAATTTTTAGGTATATAATATGGTATTATTAAATATTTCTGTACAGTAGGTCTCTAGGACTAAATCATCTCTGGCTTAACTATTTTTAATTTGCTAATCTGAAAGGTGGAAGTGGTACGTTATTGGTATTTTAATTTGCATTTCTTTGACTAATTATGAGTTTGGACAGCCTTTTACATGTTTATTTGTTGTTTGTAATTCTATTTTCATTGAGTGCCTACTATATTCTAGAAACTATTTTAGGTGCTATAACAGTTAAAAAGACAAACACTTAGAGTTTACATTTTAGTGCAAGAAACAAATGATAAAAACAAACAAAAAACCCAATATTTTTTTTAAAAGCTAAAAATACCACTTTGTGCTATAAAAACAAGAATAATAAGAAAGCAAAGGGACAGAGGAAAGGGAGCCATTATCTTTTTTTAAAAAAAAAAATATATTTTATTGATTTTTTTACAGAGAGGAAGGGAGAGGGATAGAAAGTTAGAAACATCAATCAGCTGCCTCCTGCACACTCCCTACTGGGGATGTGCCCGCAACCAAGGTACATGCCCTTGACCGGAATCGAACCTGGAACCCTGAGTCCGCAGGCTGACGCTCTATCCACTGAGCCAAACCGGTCAGGGCGGGAGCCATTATCTTAGATAGAGTAGTCAAAGGGAGGTTTTATGGAGAGATGACATTTGAACAGAGACTAAACAGTGCATGTGCCATGTGGATTCTTGAAGGGGATGGAGGTGGGGGGGGGGGCGCGGGAAGAGGAATCCAAGCACAGGGAAAAGCAAGCTCAAAGCTCCCAAAGTGGGGAGATGTTTGTGTGCTTGAGGAATAGTAAGTAGGCCTGTGTGGCTGGAGGCAATAAGCAACAGGGAAGAGTGGTGGTAGCAAATGGGTTTGGAGAGACGGTAGGAGGCTGGATCATTAGGGCTTGTCTCACTGAAAATGTTTTGGTGAGTCACTGAGGGCTTGAGCAGTGGAATGTTATGATCTGACTTACACTAATCTGGTGCCATGCGAGCCACGAGTCCCGGCCCGAGAGAGGTGCTCCGTGCACCTCCTGGTGACTGGTTGTTTGGTCGTTCCGCCATTACGGTGTCACAACCACAGGCCTTTTATGATATAGATGATACTATAGTTTGCCAGTTACTTCCAATACAAATATTTTCCCACTTTTCTATTTGCGTTGGATTCAGTTTATTTTATTTTTCACATATTTACTTAAAACTAATTGCATGTAAAATCCACCAGTTATTCCCTTTGTGGCTTCTATTACTTTTAAGCTTGAAAAGCCTTCCAGTAACCAGGGGCCAGATAGACACTTGTATTTTGAGTGCATGTTGACTCATTTGGAATTTATTTTAGTATGTGGTAAGATTACAAGTTGATACCTTCTTAAAAGATTTATCATGAACTCTTCCCTTGCTCACTGGTCTGTGATGTCTTCTTCACATAGTATGTTTTATTTGGTTCAATTTCAATTTTAAGCTTTGAAATTACAACAGAGATGATGAAAGACCTTCTTTCCAATTGTCAAAATAATATGCTTTGTATAAGATTCTCAATGTGCTCACAAGGAAATACATAAAACAAAATCAACATTCTTCAGAAGAAAAATGCAGGGACAAAAAGCTAATAAAAGAAAGATAAAACATGAAGGGGAGAAAATAAAGGGCACAGTCCATTTCCTTTTTGAAAAAAAATACATGTTGAAAAATGTAAAACAAGAATACACGTATACATACAACAAATATGTTAAGTACCTTCCCAATGCTAGGCATTGCCCTAGATGCCATTAAGTGATAAGGATAGGGGCTTAGATTTTAGTAGGGAAGTTGGGGACCGAGCCCATAACCTGGGCATGTGCCCTGACTGGGAATCAAACTATGACCTCCTGGTTCATAGGTTGATGTCAACCACTGAGCCACACCAGCGGGACTATATTGTTCTTTTAAACATAACAAAACTAAATACTTGACATAACATAACAAAAGGAAATACAAGAGACCAGACTGTAAGATACTTGAGGACAGGGGTTTTTGTCAGGTTTGCTCACTGCGATCTCCAATGCCTAGCATAATGAGAGTCTGGAACTCATTAAAAATTTGTTAAATAAAAGGAACAAAGCGACTATAGGGAATAACCTTTTATTGGCGAAATAAGAGTCAGATGAAATGAACATTCAGAAAAGGGCTTCAGAGAAGCCGCATGGGCTATAAAACTGGTCTCATAATCACATTGCATTGTACGTCAAAATCAAGGATGGGTAATTTAAAAGTAACATTACACTAACACAGGGTTCAAAATACAATGTTAAATTTAGCCACTTCCTTGTAAACTTCGTCATCACTTTGACTATGAGTTTCTATGTGGCAGGAATTATGTCTTCTTTTCAACTCTCCAAGTAAGAGGAGAACACGCTGTGTGTGCATCCTACATGGTATATATTTACGCTGTTGGAGGCCTACTGAAGAAATGCTAGCACACGGGCAAAGTACTCAAGGAAGAAAATGGGGACAACTTGGCAGCATTTATCATTACTAACACTTCAGTCTCCTAGAGTAAACTTTGAAATTACATTCTAATTTGAGATGGTTCTGGTTTGACAAGTTAACCCTTGAGACATCTGAGTACAGTATTATGAAAGAACAAAACTGTTCATCAACCCTTTATGCCACTGTTAATTTCTTTTAAAAGTAGGATTTTAATGTTTTTTAATTCCTACAGTGACCCTTAAAATTTCTATGTATGTAATCACGAATGCACACACAAGATGCATTTATAAGCTTATTGTGTAGTTCCAAAGACAGTTGGGAAAATCAATTTTAATTTTGTTACTGAAATAATTTAAAAATATATTATAGAACTGCCTCTTTTCAATCAACAGCAAGGATCTAGAAAAAGATTATACAAGTAGGCACACTTTATTTAGGTTTATTAGTGTTAGAAAAATGAAGTTGCCTAACTTCAAACTGAAATAAGCCCTCTTATATTTAGTTTTTCATCTCACCACTGGCATCAATGTATATTACTTTCTTATGTCTTTAAAGAAACTCAGATTAAAAAACTTGGCTCATTTATTTAACAAGATTCATTATATGCATTAACAACTGAGATGCCCCAAACTAGAAAATTATTTTCAGAAAATGTGCAATATTTCCTGATGATCTCCGAGAATATCTTTGTGACTTAAAACTTTAATAAAAGAAAGAGGACTTACCGGCTTTTATTCATAAGGTCTGCTCCCCGTGCTTTGTAATAATCTAAATTTGGATGGAATTGATAAGTCACTGGTCTTGGATTTCTCTATAGAAAAAAAAAAAAGAATAAATTAAAATGTATATAGCTGATTAAATTATACATTAACATATGAAAGGATAAAATCATTGTTTTTATATTCTTTCAGGAAAAAATACATAAAATAATGAAGTTTAATAATTAGTGTGCTTGCATTTTGCTTTTATTGTTGAAGTTTTGCCTTAACTGATCTTAGTCCTGACTAAAGACTGAAATTGTTTTAATAGATTTTTTCTTTTAAAAGTTTTTTTAATTGATTTTTTTAGAGAGAGGAAGGGGGAGAGTAGAGAGCAAGAGAGCAAAAGAGCAAGAGACAGAGGAGAGAAAGAAACATCGATCAGCTGCTTCTCCCATGCTCCCTGACCAGGGAGTGAACTCACAACCTTTTGGTGTATGGGACAACACTCTAATCAACTAAGCCACACCAGCCAAGGCTGATATATTTTTCTTGTCTTATAGTTCACATAAATTTCTTCCTGTTAGATTTATTTTTTTTATGATTTTGATTAATTCATTATGACTTTCCAAAACACAATAAGTTAAAATTACAACAAAACTGAAAAATTATATGGGATTTAACAGGAACACAATCTATGCTAATGGACTAAGAGATACAAAGTGTCAAGAAAGCAGCATTTTGGAGAAAGATTTTTTTTGATACCCAGAATACTAAATTTGCCCACTAGATGGCATACCGAGTCTTTCATTCTCCTAAAATGAATAAACTATTTCAAGAATTCAGCAATTCTTTTAAAGTTAGCAATTTCTAAGTCATCTATTCTTATAAACGAGTTTAATAAGTACCCATGTGGTGGAAATATTAGCAGAGTACCATCACGATACAAAAGCAAAATGACCAACAAGCATACATTTATATAAAAGAAGCAACACAATATCCTTTCTGCTATTTAATATTATTTATAATCACTATAGAAATGTCCTTGAATGATAGATCGGGTGTGTCTAAATATTTTGCTATTAATTTAATGTGTCTATTATTTAAATGTATCCAGTTCCTCATAGACACAAAATTTAAAAAGTTTAATTTTCTTAAAAATTCACCTAGTTTATAAAAATGTAACATGTTAATAAAGCATTACTTAAATACCATCATCTCCAAAATGTTAAATCACATATTTTTATTTAAAATTTAAAAATCCTTATAAATAAATGTGTTCGAATGTTCACCTGAGCATATAATTCAAGTTAATACTTAGGATTTTGAACCAGAAGATGCCTTGTCCTTTAAGAGATTTATCTAGGCATAGAAAGGTTGCATTTTATCTTAATAAAAAATTACCAATATGTTTTGATATCAATCCTTGGAGACAAAATCCTGAGGCACTGATACTTGCATGTAGGTGGAGGTATGTAATTGCTAAGGTTAAACAGTTTGAAATTCATCAAGCTAACAAGCTGCATCTTAATGGCCATGATGGACCTTTTCTTTTTCTGCTGAAAAGAGAATATTTGCACAGCTCAACCCTTTCATAGCTCCTCCAAGTCAGCCCTAATCATCTAACAAAAACGACAATCCCTTGATTTAGCTCCAGCTCCTACGCCACTGGTTTGGTATTCAGCACACAGTTCTAAAATAATCAAATCTGAATTGCCTTGATGAAGATAACGGATGCTTGCTTCCATGGCTACCATACCATTAAGTCTAACAGTGCAACTTCTCTCTCTCAAGGAATCACATAGGTTTCCTTGCTGTAGCTGATGACAACCTGGACCCAATATAATGGGAAAATAAAATAGAGGCTGAAGCTACTGGCAGATTGTTAGTGCATTCATGACTTATTTCAAAAATTAACTTCCGTAGGACCATCACTCATGACTAATTTTGTTCTTTATTCTCAGTACCTGGAAATACATTTTGTTTTGACTAATATAAAAGACTTTTCTTCTCTGACTTCCAACAAACTAACAAAGGATTATGTTACTTTTTGCTAGAAAACAATGAAAGAGGGGATTGCACAGAACAATTTCTTGAAACATCTTTATAAGAAATGACAAGCAATTCAAGACCGAAGTGCTGATCTATCTAAGCACTTAAAGCCATTATTAGAAATAATGATCTAACTTGAACACATGAGTGAGGCTCAAGTATTGCTTTCACGGAGGCCTATTTAAATTCCTGGGAGACTTACTAGTATCAAAGGAAGAGGCAGTTTAAAGTACCACTATATTGGGACTTAAAAAAAAAAAAGAAATCAAAAGAGGATGTTGAAAAACAGCATTTCAAATGTAAGAAAATAAAATCAGAGGTTCCAGTTAAAAGTTACTCAATAGAGTTTTCTGTCTGAGATGATGATGCTGTTACTAAGGCATTAAGAATGTAGACAGATAGATGGTCTAAGCGAGCACTGCCCAATAGAAAGACAATGCAGGTCAGGAACACAATCTTCACATTTAAAATTACCTAGCAACCACATTAAAAAGAGAAAAAAGAAATGAGTGAATTTAAATGTAACAATATATTTCATTTAATTCAGTATATCTAAAATATTGTCATTTTAACATGTAATCGTTATAAAAATTATTGAGCCATTTCAGATTCTTTCTTTTGCACAAAGTCTTTGAAATCCAGTGTATATTTTATATTTATAGCACATTTCAATTTGAACTCGTCACACTTCAAGTGCTCATTTTACATGTGGCTTGTGGCTTGCAATGGACAGGACAGACTAAATGACTGACATGTGTAAACCAATGTGTGGCTATCAAAATCAATATATGCATATAGACATGAATAAAAAGGGCACAAATACTTTTGACACTAAGATTCAGTACTGACAGTACTTCAACATACCTACAGTTCTTCTCTTTTAATTAAATTAGCTTAATCTCTTCTAAATAAGGTGTTAGAAAGTCAGAAAACTTGGAACAATATATTCTCACACAGCTACTGTGTACCAAAATACAATGGTTTCCTTAGGGGAATGAGATCAAATGAGCAGAATTCTAACTTTATGCAAATGAAACATTTTAAAAGTAAAGAGAAATTTGTTTTTCTTATTTTGAAGGATATTTTCCAAAGAGAATTTTATAGAACTAAAACAGTTCTGACTTATTTTTTAAAGACCTAGAATTTCCTCTAAAATATAGGAGCCACTAGAATTCTCTGCTCTACTCTGCACTGGAAGTTTGCAGATCAGCCTACAATCCCTGCACCCATCCACCCCTGCCACCCTTACCCCCCTGGTGCAACTCTGTATGTAAGAAAGAGCAGACTGCGGAACTTCTCATTGTGCAGAACATGTGATGTCAACAACTTTAATATTATGCCTTTGCCTGGATTGGAACAATCCATACTTAATTAAAACCCATTTTCACACAGTCATGATTTCAACTATTATAAGCTTTTCCAAACCAATGTACATTTAAAAAATCCTTTTGTTTCAGTGAATTTTTCTTTGATAGAAAGATGGCAAAATGGTAATCCTATCGTAGGTCTGTGCACAGAGAAATGCCAATTATGCCCCATGATCTGGGAAGTCTATGTAACATACATGAAGATATGAAATCACAAATCCAGTCTACCTTGGCTTACCACTCCTTTCCTAGATCAACCCAGATGGACTGGAAATGAACCTACAAGACTGCAGCTGGTTAACTTCCCAAGTACCATTCCAGTCTTCTCTGTTAACAAGCTGGTGGAGGAGCTCTCCTTGAAGCTGTGTATTCAGTGTTTTATTTTATGGTAATCCTAAAGGCCTGGTGCATGACATTTGTGCACTTGGGGGGTCCCTCAGCCCTTCCTGTGCCCTCTTGCAGTCTGGGAGCTCTCAGGAATGTCCGAGTGATGGCTTAGGCCTGCTCCTGCCACTGCTGCTGTGTTCACCAGCTGTGAGCCTGGCTCAGGGCTTCTGGCTGAGAGGTGCTCTCCCTGTGGGAGGGCACTGACCATCAGGGGGCAGCTTCCACGTTGAGCATCTGCCCCCTGGTGGCCAGTGCACGTCCTAGTGACCAGTCGTTCTGCAATTTGGTCAATTTGCATATTGCCCTTTTATTACATAGGATAAGAAGAATGCTGAAATTTCCACCCATGGCATGGACAGGCTGCATTTTTGGGAAGCATCTTGAAGCTTTATGGACAAAATGACTTACAGAGAGTGCTAGAGACAAGTGTCCTAGAGGGAACTATATGGAAAAACAAAAGAAAAGAAAGACCATGCTGTATTTCTGAATTTCTAAAACACTTTTGTTAATTTGGCAAGATCACAAAATCAATTTACAAATAGTACTGAAATGACAGCATTCAATGTAAGGAATAAAACTTATTGACAGCTATCTAATCTTGCTGGTATAGTTAACGTTCTTCACTTCTAGTCTATGCTATGATAGTAAACTTGCTCCTTACTGTCATTTCAGGTAAAACACACACTCTGTCCCTTGCCGGGTGTGACTTTTGATGGTGGACAACTCCTCTCTGCTCTACTCTGCACTGGAAGTCTGTAGATGAGCACATAACCCCTCCCCCACCACACACACACACACACACACACACACACACACACACACACACACTGGTTCTATTTTAGTATTTTAAGCTCAAATTCAGTTTGTTGTAGTAGAATACAAATATTTAAATGCTAACCCACACTAACTACACGATACTACAAGTACTACAATTAACTAAAAGATGGTACATGCAATTTTCCTTGTTCTAAGCCTGGTGAAATCAAGCACATCCAACAAAGGGCATTATAAACAATACTTTCCAGATTGATCCCCTAACTCCTGACCCTCCCCTTGTAGATGACTGCCTCCTTTTGAATCGTCATATGGAACTCCAGAAGGAAGTTCATCTAAAGTGCTCATTCTGTTTTGAACAGCATGGACCCTTTCAAACGGCTGGCTATTTATACACACAGGTAGAACGGAAAAGAGCCAAAGAAAAGCAATTCCAGTGATCCCTGCTCTGATTTATGAATGTGCCAGAAGGAGTTAAAGAAGAGTTAAAGTTATATGTTAAAACAAAGAGACTAGGTAAACATAGCTCGCCC